TCTCGGTTTATGTGGACCAGGTTTCATTACAGTACCTTTTCCCTCCATGTACATGTACCTATTCAGTTTTGCATCTAACTATTTAGGAGCCAGCTGTAGCCAGTCTCCTTCAAACTGGTGTATCTCAAAATACAGAAAGCAAAAGTCTTTTTTCAATTTCAGGCAACAGGTATCATTTCAGCAGATCTGGTCCCCTCCTTTTGATCATATGATTAATTTTATAGCATATATATGTCAGAGTATTATGGCTTTTCTACCGTCAAATGTTATTTATCAGGAATCAGTTTTGTCATCAACTTGCATGGTTGACAGAATCCAATCGATTCATTTATTTTTAATAAGATATGGGTTGGTTACAAGAGATGTAACTAATGCGTCTCAGGATATAAGAAAACTATTATATTACCTATGTTGGATAACATTGTCAGTGTTTTGCCAGATTTGTGTTCTGATTTTGAAGCTGCTTTATTTAAGTTTGCTTTTACATGATTTTGAAGCGGCTTTATTTAAGTCTGCTTTTACATGAGCTTTCTTTGCATTACTAAAAGTGAGTAAAATAGTGGCTTTGGGTATCAAGCATATATAATTGTCTCTTGTGATACCATTCAAGTTTTTTGTTACAACATTTTAGACTGGCCAAACTGGTTCGGGAACATGTTTGCATTTTGAAAAATATTACAATATGATTGTTTCAATCTTTGCAGAATTTTGCTGTATTACAATGTACAAATATTGATAGGGCGTCTCAATTTTCACATTTAAACTCAAAACCCTTATCCCAATATCAGTTTCCGTCCATCTTAAGGTATTCAATGTATAATGAAGGGATTTTCGACAATTTTAGATAAAGATAAAAATGAAATGAACCAAAATTCGCTAGACTAATAACATGTACAGAGACGGTCATTTTGCACATTGAAAGTTTCTAAGAGTTACCTGGCCTTGATTAAAAAAAAAAAAAAAAAAAAAAAAAATATTATTTATCTAAATTTCTTCGGTATTATTCACTTTATATCATATTTTAATAAACAAACAAACGCATATTTTCATCGATAATACTCGGATTAGTTTGAAATTCAGATTACTTCTTAAAATATCTTTCAAACACATATGCGCTGTCCATAGACTTTAATATTAAAATCAAGGTGCAATTAATTGGTTAGTAATCAACATGTAAATTCCTTGTTGGAACATTTTTGTTTGACAACATCTTCAAATTATGACTAAAATATTGCCGACTAGGCGTAGAACAATAAAAATTAATCAATCAAAATATTTTGCTACTATGATTTAAAATATTGGACTATTTATTTCTTAGGTACAAAATATGGTCGTTATACATTGTATAAACTTTAAACAAAGCTTTGCAGTTTTTGAATATTCAGTCAACTGAAGTTAAGACGTACTGATTTTTCACAAGGGGGTTGCAACCCACTTGTATACAAAAGTGTTTACAGAGGAAAATATTACGCAGATCGGAAGGTGGCAGTTGGGCGCCAGGGCTGTGTATTGAGCAAAATTAAAAAAAAAAAAAAAAAAATAGATACGATACGATACAATAATTTTTTTTTTCTAAAGATATATGCGATATATTGGATTCTATTACAAGTCAATCATAAAAGGCTTATAAATCATTTAACGTATGAATTTCATAAAAATTAAGTGTTTCATTGTCATTACAACTTACACCTCAAATTAAAACTTTTAATGACTATCAAATCAAAACTTTTAATGACTGTAAAATCAACATTTTAAATTAAAATTGTCTATGCTTTAGTAATAATTCTAAAAATTGTGTTATTGCCTTAAAAAATTGAATGATTATTTAACAGATTTAATTAGTGAAATATGATCTTTGGTGATTGAAGTTCCAATCTTTTTAACAGAATTAGAAGAAAAAATGCCTGTCCGATACGTATTGGAAGTAAATTTTCGATACGATATGTTTCTTGTATATTGATACGTATCGATAAATTGATAAAACCCTACAGTCAGCAGCCTGCAAATCTTACATAAGACCATTGTTGTAAATTTACCTTCTGTTTATATATATGTTTTATATTATGACACAACTTTGCAATTCAAATATTGCTTTGACATTTACTTAGTATTCCCACAAACTTTTATTACATATATGGTCACATATTTTGCCTCAAAATAATTGATAAATTGCCTAGCAAATTTAGAATGACAGAAGTGTAGACATAGGATTAATAGTGCATGTGCTACATTTGTGGTAAGTAAGTTTAAGGGTCGTGGTGCATCAATCAGTTATCCACATATTAGGACGCATTGCAAGGGAGATACTGGAGTTTTTCAGATTTGGGAAACAATTTTATTTATACTTTGAGAAATGATATCAATTGTGTAATTTTGTTTTGTGAACATTTCTGCGATGCTTGTCATGAGCCCCATTGTGTGCGAGTTGCACATTTATCATTTTCAATGCAATTTGCATTAATTTTCAAATTTCAATCTTAAGGCGCAATTTGTGCCTTTCACTTACCAATTTGGTTATTTGGTGCGATTTGTACCTAATTTGTGCACGATTTGTGCTTTTATTGTTGATCTGGGTGCCAATTTTAGTTTGAGACGGATGGGTCATGCGACTATGTCCCTTGACCCATTTGGCTTAATACATATATTTTGGTACGATTTGTACCTAATTTGTGCACGATTTGTGCTGTTGTTACTTTGGGCCGCAAAATTGCCGCCCCAATTTTAGTTTGTGGCGGATGGGTCACGTGACTTTGTCCCTTGACCCATTTGGCATAATTTTGCAAAGAATGCTGTCTCCGGGGGGTACTGTTTTTTCCAGACTCCTTGGATTAAGGTGGTATTTCTCTTGCTCATCATCTATATTCATTTACCTATGCTGCCATATAATCATAATGATCGGCGCATACATTGTGTTATATCTAATTTATTATTAAATGGCCATGACAAGCACGCCAAAACAAATAAAGTCTTCTTTTTATTGACTGTATTTTCAGACTTCGTAAACCTTTTACTGGGGTTAATCTGATCAAGTTTGTTTCTGTTATTGTCTTGGTCCAATGTCACGAAATAATGGGGTTTATCCAGTATGGATAAACCTGGTTATTTCGTGCAGCTTAATGTTTTACATGCAAAGATAGATAACTCTTAGTTTCTTAACATTGAACGTCATAAATCATCGGGCTCGGTGCTTAAAAAATTCTTGATATTTCTTGTATGCGCATGTCTTCTAGAATATTCCTTTTGAATCTGTAAATTGAACGAAGCAGACGCATAGATTTTTTAAAACCCACCCTCCCTCCCCTTAATTTTATATTTTATCCCCCTTTAGCACCTCTGTCATTCTTCTAATGCATTTTCATTACAACTGTTTTTTTTTTCCGGTTGTTTTTTCGTTTTCTTTTAATTTCTCGTTTCAGCGTCATGGCATGGATCGAATCTTGAATAGGATCCACCAGCTTGTTGATGTGCTTTGCGGACCTTCGATGTTGATGTGCTTTGCGGACCTTCAATGTTCCAGTTGCGTGTGGCTATTGACTTTGTTAGGCATAATTTTGCAAAGAATGCTGTCTCCGGGGGGTACTGTTTTTTCCAGACTCCTTGGATTAAGGTGGTATTTCTCTTGCTCATCATCTATATTCATTTACCTATGCTGCCATATAATCATAATGATCGGCGCATACATTGTGTTATATCTAATTTATTATTAAATGGCCATGACAAGCACGCCAAAACAAATAAAGTCTTCTTTTTATTGACTGTATTTTCAGACTTCGTAAACCTTTTACTGGGGTTAATCTGATCAAGTTTGTTTCTGTTATTGTCTTGGTCCAATGTCACGAAATAACACATTTTGAAAGGGCGTAATAACGCCTTGTATTTTTTTTCCTCCAAAGATTGATTCTTCATGGTTTTCGTAACATAAATATGTATACATATCAAGTATTCATTTTTTGTAGAATTAATTCCGGATCAGTCACTTGTGGTACAAGAGATATTGATGATGTCAAAAAAAGATGGAAAGATGTAAAATTGAGAGTGAAAAAGAAGGAAGCAGCGCGAAAACAGGAAGTGAGAAAAACAGGAGGTGGTCCCCCACCTGACATAGTTTTTAAGCCGTGGGAGATGGAGGTAGTCGATACCATTCTTCTATAACACATAAACTATAGATATACAATAAATTTCAATATTTCATTGATGTAACAATTTCCATTACAGGTTTTGTCCCTAATTCCGGAAGAGAGTATATCCGGACTGGAGGGTGCTGTAGATACGGACTTATCAACTACGGCTAATAAACCAGGTACTCTTTCAACTGCGTTGTTATTTAACCTTTTAAATGTATTAATGTGTATTGAAAGCGAACGCTAAAAAATAATAACATAATAACAATATATTAATTTTGTGAAGAATGTGAGAATTTTCTTAATGATTATTTTATATCATTAACAATTTGTCTTGTAATTACATACTCCTCTGATACGTGTAAAATGCATGTTTATATAGACCTACGTGATCAGGTAGGCACCAATAACGAAACGTAAGATAGGACTGCCACCCCCACCCCGGCCCCCAAACCAACAGAAAATAAAAGTGGGACACCCCATTCAATTGAGAAATGTTACTGAATTTACGCAAAAGTCCTGTCTTCTGTTTGATTGCTTTTCAATTTTTTTAGGCATCTTTCATTGTAAAGTAATGGGTTTGTACATTTTACACTCTCTGTTACAGGATGTTCTGGGAAGTCTGCTTCTGAGACAAGTTCGTGTAGTCAGATTCAAGGTCCCTTGATAGAGTCATTTGAAGGTACATGAAATCATAAAACATATTCGCTCACAAATCTTTGGAATATTTCTAAGCTTTTTTGCATATATTTATTTACATATATCCATGCATGTACTTAAATAGTTCACGAAGTGGAAATACCAACGGAAGCATGTAATGATTATTATATCAGAAATAAAACAAACTACTGTTATCTAAATCTTGTATTGATTTCATTTTCATAAGAGATTTGCAACTTGGTGTCTTAATTGCTGTGCTGACACAGTGGCAACATCTCTGCATACAGCATGATGGTTTACATTCACGATGCGGCCCCCATCTCTTATTGGAAGTTTTTCTTCAATTGCAACATTGTGTAGTCTGAAACAGGTCTCTATCACCCGCGAACACTTTAATGGGGAAAATGGTAGCGAACCTCCCGTTTTATGTAGACATCTAGAATAAAGAAAAGAAATGAGCTAATAAATCCATGCTCTAAGGTTTCTCTTTGACTGCACATTAGTTGGAAATAATTTTTTAAAATATAAATACACATATGAAAATAGAAAACTAAAACGATGATAATATTACCTGAATCTTGACTTCAACACCCCAAAAGCTCTCTCAACGACAATCCTTGTTCTTCCGTGGGCCTCGTTGAACTTTTCCTCTTGTTGGTTGCTTGGGGATGGGAAGGGGGTGAGGATCCAATTCTTAAGTGGATATCCGGAATCTCCAAGTAACCACCCGCCTTCAGGGAGAGACTGAATTCTTCTTGGAAGTCCCGAGTTCGTCAAAACAAAAGCATCGTGAGTTGAGCCCGGAAAAGAAGCGTTGATGTGAAGAAATCTTGAAATAGAAAATAGATGATATGTCTTATATGGAGAATACTAGTTCATAGTGTTTTCAAAATTTGATATTTTTTTTGTTTATTATTATTATTTTTTAGTAAGATATACTGTGATCTTCTCTTCAATGCTTTATTATATATATATATATATATATATATATATATATATATATATATATATATATATATATATATATATATATATATATAATAATTTATATATATATATATATATATATATATATATATATATATATATATATATATATATATATATATATATATTATTTTTATCATTTATTCCCAGCTCTCTGATTGGCTCAAACTTGATCACATGATTTAGTATATAACAGCATAAAGACTTGAGTTACTATTTATAGAATCTGAAATGCATATCGACTTGAGGTGTCTTAAAATGGAGGTAATTTCCGTGAAACAAAAAAGTACTGTATTCAATCAAAGCTAATACAGTGTATGATTTAATGTTTCTACATGTTCTAGAAAAAAAAAATTATTTCAACTTTTACTAACTTTTTTTCAATGTTCTGTATTTGATGAGACAAAAGAAGGCATTGGATTAGGATAACTTCATATTAATTAAAACATATTCGATATGTGTGTCAAATATTGATACAAAACTTAATCAAATAAATGAAGTATTCTGAATAAGTAAATCGTCTAAATCACTCCATCAATATAAAGGAAACGCTTTACATTAAACGGTGTAATTTTTTTTTATCTCTAGTCTCTAATTGTTAAAGGGAGAAAACTTTTCCCATTATTTTCATAATTTGTTTTGTCAATCTATGTAAAAAATAATATAACAAATGTAGCCCTTTAATTCGGTCAATCCATAGATATATCGACTTCACAGAAAAGCATATCGACCTCGCACTTCGTGCTCGGTCGATATGCTTTTCTGTGAAGTCGATATATCTATGGATTGACCTCATCAAAGGGCTATATTATATATATATATATATATATATATATATATATATATATATATATATATATATATATATATATATATATATATATATATATAAACTATATCTAACCTCATCCTAGCATCAGCGACTGCCTGTATATTCAGTGCATGGAAGTTTTTTTCTGCAAACATATGCAGATTCGTCTGGCCCACTCATTCCTTTAATGGCAATGAGAGTTCCATCTATGTAGACAGCGCCAATACAATTCGGCATTTTGGCAATGTCGTGGAATTCTGACTTAATTTTCCTCGACTCCGCTACCCGCTCAGGAAATGATATATTCTTGAAAGTGTTGATAGCCAGACAAACTTTAAAATAACTTAATAAATTAATATACAAGTATGTATGTATATATGCTATAACGTTAAGAAAATAAATACCTTGATCATTTAATTTTTTGAATCTTAGTTTACTTAAATGCCGTAAAAGCTTTAATTATTTGATAGATTTTATGCTTGTGAAACATTCGTATAAATAATAAATACCATTGTGAATAATACGGGAAACAGAAGGTCTTGAAATTCCATGTAAGTCACCAACTTCCGAGAAAAAGTCGCCCTTTGCAAGATACCGTAGAGTAACCAGGACCTACATGTATATTGACAATACAATGAAATAAATAATACATTTGAAACCATGAATTATTTTGCAAAAACTAAATCTATAGGATTTTTTTTACTGAACCATTTGATTTTCTCTCTCTGATATATATAGTTCCAATGCACAGGTACTTGTGGAAAGGACCCCCCCCCCCGATATTCAACCTCGGGGCTTGTTAGACATTTTTTTCACAAATTATTTCTTACACTTATTCATCACATTACTAAAATATGAAAAAATCGTCAAAACCCCAAAACAACTATACATTATAAAGGAGATGTATAGTGGGTATTTTTTGAGGAGCGATTGTTTTGGGGGTTTTAACGATTTTTTTCATATTGTACACATGATGAATAAGTGTAATATAAATATAATTTGTGAAAAAAGCCCCGGGTTGAATATTGGGGGGGGGGGAGGTCCTGTCCACAAGTGTTCCAATGCTAATTAAAAGAACAAATTAAATTCATTTTTCCCAGAAATAAATAATGACTTATAATTGTATACATTATTTATTTATCAAAATTAATAAATCAATCACCTGTGTGTGAACAGGTACAGCATGGGCCCTGAAAGTAGGTCGCAATATATATGGTTCAACTTCATGGATTATCCTATCAATGACGTGTCGTGGAAAACGGTATCGTTCGAATTAGGTCTTTGTCGTCAAGCGTAAATAAAATGTTAAACCTCTCTCTATAAACCCTCTCTCTTCTCATCATTCTTCTTTTTCTACGCCTCAAAAACAGTAGGGTCGCCATTTTTCAGAAATTGTATACAGACTAAGAACTTACGCCTGCCCAAGAGCGGGCGTAGATTTAAGCCAAGATTTAGTCTCGGCCTAAATATCGGCCTTTTTGTGAAACGCAACCTAGTCCAATTTTCAGGTTTAGTCCTCAGTTTAGTCCGGACTAAGCTTACGACTGGTCGTAGGCCTTTTTGAGAAACGAGCCCCTGGGGCTCGTTTCTCAAAAAATCGTAGATTTTGGCCTAAGTTAGTCCGACTAAAAAAGTTACGCCAAAATTTAGACGGGCCTATATCGCGTTTCTAAAAGCGGCGTAAGACTGGGCCTAGGACTAAGACCTCTCCGCTAGGTATTAAGCATGCGCAGATCGCATTTTATTTGGTTTTGAGACTATAATGACATGTGGCGGATCAAATTAATATCCCACTTGAACCTAAATAAAGGATGTTAAGCACGGGAAGCACGAGCACGATTGCATGTTTTCCCTTTTCACCGTCTTTCAAACAGATCTATTACGCAAACCCATCTGTGTTTTCAAGTTCAAAGCATTAACATAGTAGCAGATTCTGATACATGTGTATCTTGAAAAAGGGGCAGATTGGGTTCGGGTTAACTAAAAAAAACTGACTGAGTAAATCTTTTATTATAATTTTGGACACAGCCTCCCTCCCCCTCTACATCCGCAAGTGTTATATTAGATATCTACCTTAAAACCGAATGATGTACATACATGATTATACATACATGTACTTGCTAAATTTTGAAATAAAAAGTAATTTTCCTTTATATGAGTAAAAGTCATATATGGCTAGGCGGGAACAGGCTCGTAGCAAAAGTTTTGAAAGTCGGGGGAAGGGGGGGGGGGGGCAACCAGTATCTGAATAAGTAACAGAGCCCCCGACCAACAGACGTACTGTTAAAAAATTTATCAGTTATGAAATCATAATTATCATAAAAAGAATTATTAAAACATGCATAAGAGAATTATTAATAAAAATGATCAGACATACAGTGTATATATGGTTTTCCTTGGCTCCCGTTTTTGTTAAAATTTAGACGTAAATAAACTTCAATGAAATTTATGTTTTGTGAAATAATAAAATTTATATATTTATTTTATCTTTATATTGATTTAAGAAATATGCAAATAATTAAGGGTTTTAAATACCTTAGTTTTAAACAAAACTTCAAAAAACGACATTTTTGACGCTGTATATATATAAGCGACAATTTTATATACGTGCGAGCCTTGAACAAGAAAGAAATTTACAAATGTATAAAACATTTTCTGAATATGTGCCTGAAATGGCCCATACCATATACTGGTATAATTCTTTATAAAATTTCAATCAATTTATTCAATATGAATTAGACATATATTGGCAATCTAGGTGATACATGTATTACATTTTGGACATACAGTTTTACATGGATATCGTTATGATAATTTACATAGGCCATGTGCATGATGTGGAAATAGTACATAATTATGTTACATGTATATACACCATTTGCATTATAACACACGCATTCTCAAATTCAATCGAAATATTTTAGAAATTTATTTTAAAAAAATACTAGATTTCTTGCCTGCAATATGGTTCACATTGAAGAATTCGATTTAAAACTATTAAGCTTTTGCAAGCCATTAAGTAAAAACGATTAACCCATCTACACTTCTCACCTCTCGACAATGAGTGAACAGTCTTATGAACAGAATACTTTAAGTATAATATTCGAACATTTTACAAAATCAAATTTTTATGTTTTATTAATATCATATTTAAATAATTAAAGGGGAAAATTAAAGAAGTATTGACTTGGTTGATGGCATAGAATATTTCTCATTATCTAAAATATATTTTTAAAAATGAATATTTTTTGAGGGTTTATTGAAACATTATTCATAAAAAAAAATTATCCTGGCATCGATTTTAAAAAGTAATATTCAGCAGAGAATAGAAATGCTGAAAGTGGGCGTCAGCCCATAAATTATACACCTTTTTAAACAGAAAACGCATAATTGCAATAAAAAAATCGGGAGGGTTGCAGCCCCCCCCCCTCCATCCCACAACGCGTGCCTACATTTTTAAAAAATAAAATCTGACACTTCTTAAATTTCTACCCAACTAGAATTCAAAATTCTTAATTACAAATTTTTAGTTCATCCCACCTTTTGCGGAGTACAGTTTGCATCTCTACTTGTCTACATAATATTACATGTATATGTTGTTTATTAATTTTCATGATTTTTCGTATATCATATCATATAATTATGTGCATGAGCAGGCCTAGATTTAAACCAAAATATAGTCTCGACTAAGTCTCCGCCTTTTTGTGAAACGCAACTTAGTCCGACTTCCGGGTTTAGTCACTGATTTAGTCCGGACTAAGCTTACACCTGGTCGTAGGCCTTTTTGAGAAACGAGCCCCTGGTGTCAAAAATATACTGGTCTGCGCTTAAGATCAATCCTACTGATATACAGGGCTACGATCTTGAACTGTCAGTAAACACTTACATAACTGTTGAAATGATAGAATGATCACAGGAAAAAACATCTGACAGCTGCTTATTGAGAAGAGATCTTGCGGCCTATGTATACATAACAGCAATTGACACAAGCTTGCTGCAAATTTTCAGAAACTCCGCATGTTTGCAGGAACACTACAAGAAACATACACACCAATCTGCTGTTCGCAGCACCGGTTCTACAAATAAAATGTTTGTGGGGAGTTCGAAGAACAGTTAAAAAGTCAATTCGGCGAATAAAACGCATGTTACATTGAGGTCCACCCAAAATTTGCTTTTTCATAATTCATGAATGAAACTGTAGATGCTTCATCATTTTGTTAGAATTTCACAAGACCTATTCTAGAATAGTCTATTAGGTGTAATCTGATATACACAATATATTTTATTGGTAAGATTTGATTTTTATGGCAAGCCCTTTTGCAATTTATTCGGAAAATAAAATTTATCTGAAAATTACACAGATACATGTATCTCTTAAAAAACTTTAAGATATATCTCTCAACTTTAAGAGATATCTCTCTGAGAAAGAGATATCTCATTAACATAGAGATATATATCTCTTATACTTGGAGAAATATCTCTTACACTTAGTGAGATATCTATTTTTAGAAAGATATCTCTATCACTTAAACAGAGATCTCTTTCTCCTTGAGAGATATCTCTTAAATGAAAAGAGATATCTCTGAACGTGAAAGATATATCTCTTTCACCTAGAGAGATATCTCGTTTATTTTGGGAGATATCCTTCCAAGTTAAAGAAATAACTCTCAAGGTGAAAGAGATATCTTTCAAAAGTGTCCAAAACAAATATCTCTCAAGAAAAAAGAGATATCTCTTTATTGTAAAGAGATATATACCTTCATTATTTTTATTTAAATTGCGTTTTTAATGACTTCTCCCATTACCGGAAGCAAGCTTTTAATTCACGGAAGTACATTAAAGTATTTTGAAAATTCGACATATTCATGATATTCTATATTATAGCTTTACTTAACATTTCAAGTAATTCTGTGTTGTCTACATTTCAAATTAGTAATAGTTGATTATTTCATAAGCTGAGAAAATTCGGTCCATTGCATTTGAGATTTTATGCTTACTTTCGTTTTCCTGAATATTAAAGTTTCAGTATGTTTATCAACGAAGTTGCCATTTTCATTTGTTGTTTCAAACAAGGGATTTATATCACTTTTGTCTACATAGTGCATACATTATTCTGGGTATGAAATGCTCAGTCTTTATTCTCATAAAAGCGAAATTGTTCAAGAGACTTTACTTCCTGTTTCGCTTTCATTTAAACGACCAGAATTAATTATTTCATTTTAAGAATCACACAAAAAGAGAAATCTCTTTCATTAAAAGAGATATCTCTTTAACTTAGAAAAATATCTCTTTTTGAAAATCTAAAGAGGCCGATATCTCTGTAAGAAAGATATCTTTTTCAACCTTGTTGAAGAGATATCTCTCGCTTTAAGAGATATTTCTCGATTAAAGAGATACCTCTCTAGCTTATAAAGATATCGCTCTATGCTAAAGAGATATCTCTCTTATTGAAAGAATTTTTTTTCTATTTCATGAATATATAGTAGAAGGGCTCGCCATAGATTTTGCTTTAATTTAATATGGATTAATTTTCTCTTTATGGGATGATGTAGGTCAAAACTACTTGAAACTTCAATTCTTAATTTAATAGTTCACTTATTTGTAACAAGATCAGTTAGATCAGACTACATGTTCCTCAATAACATATAATTTCCCAAGAATATGTCAATAAAACGACATTATTAAGTTTCCTTACAAAAATCAAAGTACAAATTATCAGGCGTTTGCGCAAGCTACTAAAGGATGGTATACTTATATAATTCGTAAACCATTAGCATTGTCAATATATAGATTGTTCATGTATTTATAAATATATGTACTAACCATAACTGGAACAAAACTAGCTACATTTACAAATACTTTAATTTCAGGTCAGGTTGTCAAGACATACATTTTTTGAACTATGAAAATTACTGGAACAAAATTACCTACATTTAGAAATGCTTTATTTTCAGGTCAGGTTAATAAATGTATTTCAGAGATGAAACATTCTCTAATTTGAGTTTTTGAACAAAAAATAGATTAAGCTTTATTATATAACAAAAATTCAGCCAACAGGAAGATAGATGTTATGTTTTTACAAATAACTATCCACTCCAATTCTTGACCTTCCTTTCAGATACAAAATTCCCGGCTGGACTTTTCGTTCCTGGTGGAAGTAAGGCCAAATACAAAGGCGTCTCGGCGCCCTGGTCGATAGTTTTATGACCTTTGTGTGATGTCATATCTGTATCAACGTAACCAGGGCAGCAAGCATTAACCAAGATGTCTTCTCGTGGGTCTGCTGAAAGTTGACGATGTTGAATTTCGGTCAAGGCAGATACACCAACTTTGGACATTCCGTAGGCGCTATTCGCATACCCTTTGCTTTCATGGTTTCCATTCTTAGCTGCCTGGACAAACTCGTTAATTAACCTTGTCAAATCGTCAATTGTTAGTTTTGGATTTGCAAATTTGGCTCGAATTTCCTTGCTACATTTTTTAATCGCAGAGGAGCTAGACATGCTGGAAACATTCACAACTCTTGCATGCGGTCTAAGAAGAGGAAACAAAGCTTCACATACGGTAAGCGTTCCAAAGTAATTTGTTTTTATCGTAACCTCTGCTTGTTCAGAAAAAGGGGCAGTTGACGCTTGCTTGTAAGCCATACCTGCATTGTTAACAAGACCATCCAAACCTCCATATGTTGTTTTAAGAAAATCTCGCAGACGATCAATGCTGGCTTGGTCGGTGATGTCAAGCTGATGGAACTTTGGAGAAAGTCCCTCTGAGTTTAAGATCTTGACGGCCTGCTTGCCGAGCTCCTCATTCCTGGCAGTTAGATACACATCACCGTCAAACTGTTTACAGAGGCCCCGAACAATGGCGTAACCGATTCCTTTGTTAGAACCCGTCACCTGAAAATAATTTTTTTTAATTAACCATCTGTACTTGGCACGTACATAAATCGAATAGGTGATATCACTTTTTGGCAGTATATACCAAAACGCTCCCCTCGTAAATATGTTCAAATACCTGTGCCTAATTTTAGATCAATTGCACGTAATTAACACCTCTAAAATTATTTTATCTTTATTTATACAACATTGTATTCACAAATAAAAGTGAATACCTCTAACATCTTTAGATGATTTGAATATAGGTTTAATTTAATTATATTATTAATTTGGAGAAAGGTACGGATATATGTATCAAAGAATTGAAGAATGACGTAGGGATTAAATGTACCATGTTCATTTTATAAATAATCGACATTCATTTTATTGAACCAATTAGCGCACTTTTAAAAGCCTTATACATGTAAACGAATTTTATAATGATAAGCTATTTGCTTGCCTTCCAACGCGATTAGTACACACATGGTAATAATTTATTAAATTGTGTTCGTTTAAAGTCTCCATACTTTAGTTGAAAAAAAACGTCGTATTAATATTTATCTTAACAAGTGGTTTCTGTGATAAGTTTTTACATGTACAAACACAGGTGAAGACATGTGCAGACTGACCACTGTTTATCCAATAGAAGAATCATGAATGACCACCCATGATTTTAAATGTTATAAATCTATAGCCTGGATACAGTGTATATGCAGACAACTAAAACTGAACTTACCACTGCGACCTTCTTGGACATGATTTTATCAAAGGCCTTATAGAGACTTTTGGTCTAACTATTGACCCTTTGAAGAAATGCTCCGTGCTAAGTTTTAGGACTTATCGGCATGTAAACAAATATTTCAAGTACGACACGCCATAACTGAAACTAATATATAATATTAGTTATCCAGGTCCAATCAAGGGTGTACGGGGATTTACCCGGGTTTTATTCCATACACCCTGAGGCCGAAGGCATTTTTTTTATTGTTTGCTTATTCATTAAATTGTACATGTTGAAGAAACACAGTGTTGTTCCAAATTGCATATTTTCATTATAGAGGTAATGTTTTCAGTAAGGTTTCTTTAAAAAATAAGATCTAGATAGTTTAAAGTTTACTTAAAGGAAAGTGCTGATTTTTATCTTTGAACTAAAACATTATAATAGAAGAGGCATATTTTGCTTTTCCTACAAACTCTTTAATTTAAAGTCATGAATAAAGAATACTTACTATTTAAATATTCATTTAAAAATACAGATTCAGCATCAATATAACTATAACAAAGTGCATCTAAAATATACTTTAAATGGAAAAAGTTCAATTACAATTATTACTTGTGACAATTAATTTGATAAACTACTATGCGCTCCAGTTCTTAATGTTCCTTTCTGAAACAAAATTCCCGGCTGGGGTCTTCGTTCCCAGCGGAAGTAAGGCCAAATACAAAGGCGTGTCGGCGCCCTGGTCGATAGTTTTATGACCTTTGTGTGATGTCATATCTGTATCAACGTAACCAGGGCAGCAAGCGTTAACCAAAATGTCTTCTCGTGGGTCTGCTGAAAGCTGACGATGCTGGATTTCTGTGAGTACCGTCACTCCAACCTTTGACATGCCATATGCGCTGTTCGCATACCCTTTGCTTTCATGATTCCCATTCTTTGCCGCTTGAATAAAATCATTCATCAGAGCCGTCAATTCTGCAATTGCTAGTTTTGGATTGCGAAATTTGGATTGAATTTCTTGACTACATCTCTTGATAGCAGCACTGGCCATACTTGATACGTTTACCACTCTTGCGTGCGGTCTTAAGAGAGGAAACAACGTTTCACAAACGGCAAGGGTACCAAAGTAATTCGTTTTTATCGTAACCTCTGCTTGTTCAGCGAATGGGGCAGTTGACGATTGCTTGTAAGCCATTCCTGCATTGTTAACAAGAATGTCCAAACCTCCATAGGTGGCCCTGAGAAAATCGCGCAGACGATCAATGCTGGCTTGGTCGTTGATGTCAAGTTGATGGAACTTTGGAGAAAGTCCCTCAGAGTTTAAGCTCTTGACGGCCTGCTTACCTAGCTCCTCATTCCTGGCAGTTAGATACACATCTCCATCAAACTGTTTACAGAGGCCCCGAACAATGGCGTACCCTATACCCTTGTTAGAACCCGTCACCTTAAAACAAAATAATTTATTTAATTTTTTTTTTTTTTTGTGTGTGTGTGTTTTTTTTTTTTGTTTTTTTTTTACATAAAGCATTTTTTTCTTTTCCTCTAAGAAGTTGGAGAACGGCTTAAATTACATTGTAATAACATCGTTAAAAAGTATTATTTTTTAATTATTTTGATACATGCGCCATGTTTTATTGCTACTAATGACTAAGTTATCGACATTTAATTTTTTTTAAATCTTCAGGAACAGAGGCTTTGAAATGTGGGAAAAACTTAAACTTCAATTATTTTCTATCTTTCCCGATCGAAATTCTAGAATTTTCCTTAACACTTTCCTTAAGGTAGGATTCTTCTCATATTTCTAATATTTAAAAATTAATGAAATTTTCACGGAATCAAGAAGACAATATCAGTAAGTGATAGTATCAGTGAAATTAAATTTGACCGTTTTATCTTAGAGGCAAGGTCAGGTCAAGGTCATTATCCTTCTCCTTGACATTAAGAATAAAAAATAACTGTTGCCAATCATGTGATACCTACTTCTATTTCAAAAGTTTAATGATTGTTCTTTTTTGCATAAAAACATATTGCTATATCGGGTCTATAGCATGATATTACCAAATTTACATAAATAATTTAACTTAACTGGATATTGGTTAATCCGAATTTTCTCTGTTTTTCTTAATTTTTAAGGATATATTAGTTATTTTCATATGCTTCCTATATTTAACTTTTTCTTATTTTCACATATAATAAAGTTGTCTTATAAATGTACAAAATGATACAAAAACAAAAAGTTTTGATCGTTTACTAAGAGAGAAAAATACTTTTTATGGATTTTTGGCTCAAATCTGCACTTTGATAGGAAGCGTTTAAAAGCTAATAAAGTTCTAGTTTATTTGAAAAATCATATTTATTTGATATATTTTGAAAGTTTAGTCCCTCATTATTAATCTAACTTACAATTGAAAATTTCTCCAAGTCTTCGATTGTGTAAAAATTATAACTAAATTCATTGTTCTATTATAATTTTGAGAGGCAGAAAAGAAGATATTTTCATACGCCACCATTCCGCCAAAAATATAGTCCCTGCAAGTTTTCAAAGGCAGTTTACAATTTCTATTTAAAGTTGTACAATTGTAATGAGGAAAGAAAAATATGTTTTTTTAAATTCCTTAAACCTTAAATATATAAGATATATAAGCAAATATGCTTTGAATGTTTCATTTAGTCAGAAACCAGAGAAGAATCCTACCTTAAGGCTACCAAATTAAATTAAATTAAATGTTTTAAAAAAAATCGTTTAAAAATTGCAAACGTGTTAGGTATATTCTTCGATTTAAAGGAACTGTTTACACAAGGGTTAACCCAGAGTAAAGCCAACTGGACATTTAATGTTTGTCTTGGAATGATGGTCTCATGTTTATTTGATTCAATCTTCGATTTTGAAATAAAGCAAGGCAATTTAACGTGCATAAAACTAGTAATTTAATGGTTTTATTTGAACAATTTTGTGTAAAATAATTATTAAAAATCTTTTCAATTGCAGCATTGTATACACGTATATTCCACTAAGAACTATGAAATTTCTTTCCATTTCTTTTTGCTTTTTTAAAAGTTTCTTTTGCAAAAATAAAATAATATACAGGTAAACAAATAATTTGCAAAACATGACTTACCACAGCTACTTTTTTCGACATATGGGTTCTTCTAGTAAGTGACAACTAGAAATTTAGAAGTACCGTTGGTCTTAAAAGCAAAATCGATATGTTAATTTTTAGGACTTTTGAAAGGCTTTGTGTATATAATATTCTAAGGTACACCGGAGTTGACATCAACACATTACTGATAACTTAGATGTAGAGTTTTGAGTTCGAACACTGTACACATTTGTTATCTTTATCTTTTATATAACCAAGATAAACACTCTGTTGCAGTTTATGTGTACAGTAAAACATGTTGATAACAAAGTACCAAGGAAGGACGATTTTGCTTCCTATATAACCTTAATTCATCATATCCGCTAAGTTCACAATAAATGCTGTTTGTTATCTTTATTCTTCATAATATTTAAACAATGAGAAATGAAAATAATTTCGCTTTAAAACGTCAATTCATAATAAGCGTGTTTGGTATAAGCGAATTTTTAATTAATATATTGTGTTTGTTTGTATTGCAGATGGAAGTTAAAAAGTATACTGTGAAATCACAAATGTTCGTGGGGGTTTAATTTTCGTTGTTTTCTAGGTATGAAGAGACCCACGAATTCATGTCCGTCACGAAATGTAAAACGTGACAAAGAAAACTACTCAACAATTCTACATCCATGAAATAAATCCCCACGAACCAAGAGTTTTTCCTCAATCCACGAAAATTTGACCCTACGAAAATATGTGATTTTACAGTATGTCACAGAACCGTTACTACGTGGACTGCAAAAGAGACGAGAAATGTAGAGAAATACTGCCAATAAAGATAGATCTCTACGTTTTGCAAATGTGTTTACTTTCAATGCAGAGGGTAATGTTGTTTTTTAAAAGAGTATCTTATCACAAAAAATATATATACAAGATTGTAAATTATTAACAATTTTTAATAAGAAGTTTACATGAAATAGCTTTGTAGATTTCAACAAAATGCTGGATATTTTTTAATATCCAATTAACATCTTTTGAGCAGCAAAGGTTAATTTTGTGCATTAATTATTTTCACTCCAGCTTCTGACTTTCCTATCCGCTACAAATTCACCAGTTGGACTGGTGGTACCTTCTGGAAGAAGAGCCAAATAAACAGGTGTATCTGCGCCTTCGTCAATAGTTTTTGGTCCTTTGTGGGAGGTCATATCAGTGTCTACATATCCTGGAGTGCAAGCGTTCACAATGATGTCTTCCCTGGGATCTGCAGAGAGCTGACGATGTTGAATTAGGGAAAGAACGGTGACGCCAACTTTG